TTCAAGACCAGCCTCAGATACAAGTAATTATAAGGCAAGCCTTTGTTAGAGTAAGACCCTATGCTCAAAATACAAATCCAATCATGTCAAACCAAAACAAGAGTTACAAGCAGATGTGCTATCTCACATCTTTAACCTCAGAATTTGGGCAGCTAAGGTAGGAAGATCACCGGAGTTTGAGGCCAGTGTAGGTTTCATAATGACATTCTATCTCAAAAACCAAGAAAAAAGAAGCAAAGAGAAAAAGAAAGCAATTAGCTTTCATATCCACTCTCAAAGAATAACACTGAAATCCTTACAAGAAATTATAGCAAATACCATATTTTTTAAACTTTTTTTTGGAATGCTTTCCAATTTTAAGTATACTTTCATAAATCAATATAATCCTAATTGTATTTCATACAATAAATGATGTCCTGATCTATATTAGAGTCAAGGTAACTAGGGAAATAGAACACTTCATTATTTTCTCAGTAATAACATTTAATTATTAGACTTGCAGGCAAATTAAGGATTTCTGATGAATTTGCAAAATGAGTTCCAGAAGAAATATACATACATATGTCACTCAGTCAGCACTGTGGCAATCTGTTTAGTGACACAGTAATTTCAACTTGTTTTAGGCTGTAATACAAATCTATTAAATACCACAAGTGAGATTTAAACCAATCAAAGTAACTAAAAGCTGAGTAAAGGTTTACATGCTATGACATAAGAAAGTGTAGCCACAATATACTACTATTATAATTATTCTACTACCATTCTGCTGATCATAAATGTAAAATAGTAACCCCCAATAGTTATTAAAATTAGTTTTCTTGTATTATGCTAAATATATTAAATAAGTCATCTCATTTAATACTTATGAGATCTTTATGGAAAGGGTATTTCTGACATTTTATAGTTGTATTTCTGTCATTTTATAGCTCAGACAACTGATTTTTCCCAAAGTCATAGGTGGCAGAGTAAGGATATAAAATTCAGACAGGTGGGTGTCTGTGAGTTCCAGGCCATCCAGGGCTAAGCAGTGAGACCCAGTCTCAAAAAAAATCACAGGTATCAGGTGCATGACTTAGTAGTAGACCATTTGATTAGTTTGTACAAAGCCCTGTGTTCCATTCCACACACTACACTAAACACACACACACAAACACACACGCACACACACATATTTATTTAATTCTAAAATAATATTTTGATCTTTGTTTGCTGATATTAATATATAGCGATATTTTATCTCCTAGAGAAAAATTTGTCCCTGTCTTTTCTAGATGGGAAAGTCCATTTTGAAGGTCAAGGCAAAGTTTTTAGTGCTTTATGCTACACTTTCCTTGTGAGAAAGGGAGAGCACAAAGTACTTCCTCCTATCTTTCAAATTATGCCATTTATACATATATTAATTCTCTTGTTTGGGGAAATAACATGTAATACTTTTCTTTAAAATGAGATAGTAGATTATATATACAAAATATAAAAATATATAAATATATATGAAATATATGTTAAATTGAGAATTCAAAACCTTGAATACATTATTCTGTGTTAAGCCCTACATAGTGTTGAGTAATATTTACTTCTACTGCATAAAATGTGAATTACAAATTACACGTTTCTATATAGAGAATCTCCTTCTTTTTCTCTATAATTGCTGACACCCAGTCTGTCCCAAACAAGGCAGTTTTTGGTCTTTGTTTGCCTTTATCGAAAATGTGAAGAGAAGCAGAGCTACTGTTTTATATTATCTCTGAAACTGCTATTAAATACAGCACATCATTGTTCTCCCATATCACAAATACCTAAAAAGCTAAAACATTCCAGTGACTTATTCATTCCAGGATCTTAAGAAAAACACCACTATAACTTACTAAAGACCAATTTCTTGTTCTAATTTAGGGTAAATCCAAAATTAATTAAAATTAATTTTGTTTATGCCATAAATCTTTAACAGTTAACATGTTTTACAAAAACTATTACTATTAATCTCTAAAATGAATGACTCAAAATATAAAAATACTCCAAAAACCAAGAGTAATCTGAAATATATCCCAAGAAATTTGATTCAACACAGGTATCTCTTGGCTCTCTTGGCATTAATAAGAATATTTACAGAAAACTTTTCTACAAATAAAATTGACCCTGTAAGTCAGATACAGCTATCTATGTAAACTACTGAGTGTAATAAAAATCTGTGCATTCCCCAATGTATGTGATCTCATTTTCTTATGACTGTAACTTCAAAATAGTTTTCCTAATTCCACATAGAAATGACACAATTTTTAAGTCCTTCCTGTATTTCTATAGGTAAAAGTGCTTCATACAGATAAAACAATAAAAAAATTAGAACTTGCTTTCTATAGCAACAACATGAAAGAGTGAGAAATTTCTGGCTACTCATAACACAAAAGCTCTTTTGTGTCTGGGTATGGTGCTCTTAAAGAGCAACTGATCAGAAAAGTATTCTAGCAGAAACTTAATAACTAGGAAATTATAGGTTCATTAATCAAATAACGTAGTATTAACTCATTCTTAATTATATTTTCATGAAATTATAAACAATTTTGCTAGCAACAAATTTATTTTTTTCATTATTGGAAAAGACAACTAAAATTCATGAAAGTATTTTATATTGTTAATTTTGTTGGAAGCAGATTTATGCCTAGCCCATAAAAGCTATCAAAAGTATATCTTAAATAGAAAGAATCTGCTATCTGGGCCAGTGAGATGGTTCCATAGGTAAAGAAATTTTCTGCCAAGTCTGATGTCCTAAATTCTATCATCAGAAAGACAGATAATTATTGCCTGCAATTGTACATCTTCCTCATGCATGGGCAAGAACATATATGCATACATATACACACAAAATAAAATAAAATTTTCATGTAAAAATAATTTGCTATCTATCTTACACTCGTAATCCTCAACTGAATGCATTCACTTCAGTAAAATGATTCAAAAGGGCCATATTAGCCACTGAAAATAGATTATAAACTTTTTAAATGATTGAATTTAACTCTTATTTCTTGGGTATTTACACACTTTTTTCCAGTTATGAAATGAGATATGAAGACAGATCTCTGAATAAAAAAGATATCTCTAATTTATTATAGCTCTATGTTAATACCTTATGAATATTAAAACCTATTAAGTTTTTATTATTGGTAAGGAATTATGTTGGTTTGACTGTTCAAAAGCACATGAAAAGCAAAAGGACTTCATCCTTAAGACAAATATAAACTAACTAAAGAGAAAGAGTACACATAAAAGTATAAATTTAATGTATGTAATAACTAATGTTGCTTTTTAGAAGATGTTACAACGATTGAACCATTCTTAATGTTTGATTTCAAATTTCTAGACAGCACATTGTCAGAAGTTTTAAAGGATCTCAATATATAATAGAAAATATGTACAATTCTAATTCTGAGGTGACCCAATCTCAGGGAAAAAAACATACACATATTCTAGCCCATAACAGATACATATGCACAAATGTAAACCGGCATAAATATGTGTATAGTATATCATAGCCAGTTTGGATGTCCACCTTCCTAGACCAGGATGGAGCGGGGAGGACTTTGGACTTTCCACAGGGCAGGGAACCCTGACTGCCCCTCAGACTGGAGAGGGAGGGGGAGAGGAGTGGGGGGGAGGGGGAGAGGAGAGGGAGGAGGGGGGAAAAGGGAGACGGGGAGGGAAATGGGAGGAGGGGAGGAGGCAGAAATCTTTTTTTTTTTCAATAAAAAAATTATATTTAAAAAAAAAGAAAAAAGAAAAAAGAAAAAAGAAAAAAAAAAAGAAATGGGACCAAAAATGGTAATTAATAGTAAGGGGTGAGGAAAGACTGAATATAGGCAAAAAGACACATGAATAATAAAAGAATGTAAAGGTAATTGTTTTTCACACAGACTACAGAACGTCCATAGCCACAGCTATCCTCTGCATAGACTACAGAAAGACACTGAAATTCACTGAATCAGAGAGTTTGGTTATAGGCAAATGTTTTGAGGGGTTACCTTGATGTAGCTGCATGCAAACTTTTGTGAGTTCATTAAAATAAAATTATTTTTATATCAAATAAGTTGCAAAAAAAAGAAGAAAGGTGAAGTATCTGAACCTCAAAGTACCGTGTACTTGGTTTTAACCTCTTTTGTACACTGTAACAACACTGACTAAATTTTCAAGCTAAGTGTATTCCTCCCCAAAATTCCACCAAACCATAATTTGAATCTAAAGTATGGAAAATACACTCAGCTTGAGTTGCCATTTGTCTAGTTGGCTTTTAAAGTACCTAAAAGGTGTATAGAGCAGGTGATAATTATGGCAGATGATAATAAAAATACAGAAAATTAGAATCATAAGAAAGGAGAAAAGAATAGTGTGCTTGTTAGTTTTTGTCAACTTGACACAAACTAGGTGTACTTAGAGAAAGAGAACCTCCAATGAGGAATTGCCTCCATCAGCTTGGCTGTGGACAAGGCTGTGGGGACATTTTTCTTAATGATTGATGTGGAAGGTTTCAGACCATTGTGAGCTGTGGTATCCCTTGGAAGGCAGTTCTGGGTAGTATTAGAAAGCAAGCCTACAAGCCATGGGAAGCAAATCACTAACACGCATTCCGCTGTGGTCTCTGCTTTGGCTCCTGGCCAGACTTCCTCCCATGACCTGGAAGTTTAAGATGAAATAAACCCTTTCCTCTCCAAGTAGACTTTGGTCAATGTTTTATCACAGCAACAGAAACCAACCTTGAATAAATTTCGCTGTTTTTCAAAATACATGCTCATAATTTTTACAGCTATTTCTCAAAGTTGAACATTCATTTCTTAATGCAACTGTCAGAGATTTCTTAAGATGATCTTTCTATACTGTCCATAAGTACATCTTTTTCTCAAGGCTAACATTTGAAAATTAAAGACTTAATTCATATCAGCATGGCATATGTTCTTGTACAAGTAAAATAACCTGCAATTTTTAAACTTGTCTTACTAAACTTTATATCTTACCTTTGGTTAACAAAACTTCAATGAGATGGACTTGAATCACGAGACAATTTTTCACTAAGAAGTCTGAAAATGAGATAAAACACATGGCTATTATTGTCTCCCTTCTCCCTTCCCTCCCTCTCTTTCTTCTCATCATCTCTCTCCCTATTCCCTCTCCCTAAATCTGGTGCTGGGGATGGAATTCAGAGGTTATGAATTCCAGGTTAGATAAGCATCATACCACTGAACTATCCCTAGGACCTAAGATTATTGTTTTTCATATAATATGAATCATTGTCTAATTCTTACTAAGTTTTTATTAAGGACTTGCTTTAAAAATACACAGTTGGCCAGGTGGTGGTGGCACACACCTTTAATCCCAGCACTTGGGAGGCAGAGGAAGGCAGATCTCTGTGAGTTCGAGGCCAGCCTGGTCTACAAGAGCTACTTCCAGGACAGGAACCAAAAGCTACGGAGAAACCCTGTCTCAAAAATTAAAAAAAAAAAAAAGAAAAATACACAGTTGAATTTATCATATCAACTCACATTTTTGTTTGCTTTTAGACAATATAAATATACAATCACCTGTGAAATAAGATTGTGAATCTCTGTTGACTCAGTATAGAATTTGGGACATTGTATCACAAAAATGATTATCTCAAAATCACTTCTATAGGAAACATAATTACTATTCAAAGAAATAGCTGCTATTTCTGAAAAGGAATACCTATAGCTTGGCTTCTCATACTTCTACATTTTTTCCTAAATTCCTATATTCAAGTTATCTTTTAAATGAATGTCTTTTATTTTAATACTATGGCAATGATATTTAAGATTAATATTTTACCCATATCCCTATTATAGAACAAAATGGTATACATAGAAATATTAACTTGCAGTAAATCTGTGATAGCTACCAACATGGTTTTAAAATTTTACGATTTAAAGAAGATGAAAAAATATGACAAACTCTTTATATCAAGGATATTTAAATGAAATAGACAATTGGCCTGATAAGCTTACACATTACAAACCTTTGTCTAATACATTAATGTTTTCCAGAGAAAAATCTTTCTGAATGAACCAGATCAGAAAAGCCATTATAAAATTTATGTGAAGTTAACTATTTCCTGAATCTTAATTTTTCAGTCAAGAAAATCTTTTTATCATATTAATCAGTATTTGTTTTATTTTCCTTAGTTATTTTTTACCCTATGTCTCAATATTCCAGTATATATTTCATAGAAGTCTTGCAAATACATAGAGAGAGGCATGCCCCAGTGAGTAACTGTGGCAGTGCTTGTAACTAATTAAAAGGAAAGCAAGCTGCATGATAACTAAAAAGTAAACAGATAAATACAAATTTCAATATTTAGGGTAGATTATACATAAATGTTAATAAATTATATAAGTAGATCTCAAAATAATTTAAAAAATGGTTTGAAAACTAGACATTCAAGTAAAATATCCATATGTTTTAAATCACAAGTGTATTGCTTCAAAATACATGCTTGTATTAAGAAAATAATATACAACACTTTATGCAAAAAGCTGTTGCAGGAGGGAAAGCTAAAATATTCATGAGTGCAGTCAAACAAAATTTTAACCTCATTATCGTGCTTCATTTTTTTAAAGGAAAGTAAATGAAATAAAAAAGTTTAATCTCTTGGAAAGAATTAATATGGCTTACAAATAATTCTTTATATATTCTATATTTAAAAGTTTTTCCAGACTGGAGAGATGGCTCAGCAATTAAAAGCGTTTACTGCTCCCATTGAAGAGAACATCATTCTGGTTTCCAGAACCCACATCAAATGCTATGGGACAATGGTCTTCTACTTTGTAAAGATTTGTCACTTATATTTTAATAAAGCACTGATTGTCCAGTAGCCAGGCAGGAAGTAGAGGTGAAACAACCAGGCAGGAAATAGAAGCAGGGTAAGAAGAACAGGAGAATTCTGGGAAGAGGAAAGCCTCAGTCTGCAGCCTTCACCCAGATGCCAAGGAAGCAAGATGAGAATGCCGCGCTGATAAAGGTACCAAGCCACGTGGCTAACACAGACAAAAATTATGAGTTAAGATGTAGAAATTAGTTAATAAGAAGCCTGAGCTAATAGACCAACCAGTTATTTATTAAAATACAAGTGACAAAAAGTACAAGACCATTGTCCCACAGCAATCAAGTGGTTCACAATCTCCTGTAATTTCAGCACAGGGGAATCCAATACCATTTGGCCTCACAGGAACTTGCACACACATGGTAAATATATACTTTTGTATACATAAATAATATGCTATAAAATGGACTATGTACTCTTATTTGTAGAGATTGCATAAATATAAATTCAAATATGATCTACACAGGCTTACTAATTTTATTCACCTTAATTCATTAAATTTATATACATTATTTCTCTCCATATATATTATTAATAGGCTATTATATCTAATTAATGCCCTTATAGTACTTGTTTAGCTGGCTTTCTCTAGATACTTTCTAAGTACTAAGTACTAATGTACCATGTGTTTATATCATATATTTTTTACTTTTATTTACAAGTACCATTATTAATGATGGCTAACTTTTAGATTAGGAGCTACAAAGATTATTATGATTTCTCAGATTTTCTAATTTAATAATTTTAATACTATAGCATCTAATCCTAAAAATAAAACTATCAAAATCAAAATTTTTCATACTTTAGCAAACAAAATCCATACCAGTTAAATAAACTAAGATGATTAACTGTGTATTAAGTGAAACCTAGCTCTGAATTAATGAGTCCAAATGTCTTGTTCTTTCCTTAGCCTTCAAAAGGAACAGAAATTAGGAGGACTTCAAAATCTCTTTCCTCGTTTGGGGATATGCCTCTATGGATCAACTGGAGTTGGATCCCCAGAATCCAACTAAAAGCCGGATAGACACGGTAGCTACCTGTAATCCTAGCAAACAGTAAACAAAAACAGAAGATCTGTGGGGAAAGTTAGCTAGCTAGACTAGCAGAAATTTGTGAGCACTGCTGGCTTAGCAAGAAATTCTGCTTCAATAAATAGTGATGAGGAAGAAACCTGAGGCCAAATTTGAGTCTCCATAGTACACATCCACACACAGGTGCATGCACACCCAGACACACACACAAACACACTTGCATGGACTCTAATTTTACCAACTATAGTATTTCAAAAGTTAGACCTAATAATATTGCTTGCTTAGCTTTCACTGTGGTATGTCTGGAAAAAAAACAGGATAAAATCTATTTTTGTTGCTATTACTGTTGTCAATCTTGATGGCTTAATAGAGAGGTAATGTTAAAAATATTCTAAAGTGAGATTAAGTCACTCTTAACTAGGACTGATTTTCATCCCAAGGAGAATATTTGGTGATGTCTCAAAACATATTTGGCTATATCATAACTTGGAGGGGGTTACTGGTTTACAGACTGAGGACAAAAATGATACTGAGCATCCTATGCTGCATATGACAGCCCCATTTCCAAAAGAACTGTCCCACCTCAGATACCTATAGCAACATATAAGAAATCTTTGGCCAGAGAAAAAAATTTGTGATCACACTGTAGAATAATATCCCTGAACCACTGGATATAATTATCGAATATAATATGCATTCCAAAATTATTTAATGCAATAAATACAGAAGACTCATTTTTTTAAAACCATTTTAGGTGTTTGTCTAATTTTACTAGATAAACTAATAAGAGCCATGTTAATGACTTTGATGGAGTTCTGACTTGAAAATCAGTATGGAGTGAAGAGTTGTATGGTCATAACAAAGTAGTAAAGAAATTCATTATCTATAGGTAAATGTGCTGGTTCAGTGGCCAGTAAAATAGAATGTAAGAATATATGACAGTTTTTTTTTTAGGAACTATCTTTTCTTACTTTGTCTTCATTTGCACTTCTCAAAAAATCCCTTTTTACTTCTCCAGTTAACAATTTTCTTCAAACAGTGTCTGCATGATAAAATAATAAAGAAAAAGGTTTATTTAATAATGGGTTTCTCAGCATATTTATACCTATATTAAACAATTTGTCAATCATGCAATTTCTAAAATTAATGTGGAACCATTCTCAAGTATAAAGTATCTCTAATGACAGCAAATGCTTTATTCTTTCTTATCATACCATCTTTTAAGAATCAATCCCATCTTTTAGTGATAAAGTGTAATTTTATTTTGATTATTAAAGTATTCAAAAGGTTTCCTGACAGAGGGAAAATTTTGTCTTGATTGCTCTGTGAAAATCAGATGTTACTGAAAAAATATTCTTCTGATGATTGTAGACATTGTAATCATCAAATATCACCCTTTATTATTTAAATAAGAATGAAACCTAGAGAATAAATATCTACATATTGTTTATTTATTTATTTTATTGAGACAGGTTTCTCTGGATAAGAGCCCTGGCTATCCTGGAACTCCTTTGTAGACGAGGCGGGCCTCAAACTCACAGAGATCTGCCTGCCTCTGCCTCCTAAGTGCTGGAACTACAGACTTGCACCACCACGCCTACCTTTATTTTTATCTCTTTATATATCTTATCTCATAAATTCATTTATCATTTTCTAATCATAAACTCAATGATTTTTAGGACACCTATGTCAATCAATCAGACCTATTCCTTTTTTTTTGTATTAGTTTTGTTAGTGTTATTTATTTATTTGGGGAGAATAATTTTTTTGAAATCATCTTGCTATGTTGCCCTGGCTAACCTAGACCTCACTATGTAGACCAGGCTGACCTCAACCTTTCAAGCAATTCTCCTGCCTCTGACTCCTGAGTGCTAGGTTTCTAGGCCTGTCTGTGACACCATGCCTGACCATATTGCTGAGTGCTAGGTTTCTAGGCCTGTGACGCCACACCTGACCATATTGCTTGTGTTTAAACTATGTTTTCATCTGGTCTTCTATTTGCTAGCACAAATAGAGCTTTATCTCTTCAGTAGCTCTAATCTCTTTCATCAGTTACTTCAATATTTTTTTTTGCTGGTCCAATTTGCAAATGAGATCCGAAATGGCATAACAAAAAGGTTTTCTTTTCTAAACAGGAAAACTTCTCAGTTTATACTTCTCCAGCATTTCTACAACTGAACTTCTTTCCCTAGAGAGCATCTAGAAAGACCTGCAACTTTAACAGGACAGGAAAATCTGAAAAATATTGTATAAAACTACACTATTCTCATTCCTGGAGCATTCCTTTCCTTCCAGTTCAATGGTGCTTAGCTGTAATGAACCATTATACTTTCTACTTACTTCAAAATCATTAGCTAAAAAGTTACAAAAGCCATTGTCACGAAGCAGTCACATCAAATATTAAAATTTTAGTAGTTATGTTAAGATTATTTTATAAATATTTTCATTTAAAAGGCTTATTCATGTAACGAACTCAATTATAGAAATAACCATGATTAATCATGAAAAGCACTCAATTTCCTGAGGAATTATTATAATTTCCCACATTAGCTTTGTTTAGGCTAAGTTTTAACACATGCAATAGCTACGGAATCATCTTAAGACAAGGTATTCACTCTTTCTTTAGATCTTCATCATTACTGCAGAAAGCCATAGAAATTACAGTTCATCCTTCCAAGTACAAGCAGATGAAAATAATCATATTTTACTGGCCCACATGGGACTTAGACTGCTGTATTTAAATCTTCATAGATAGTTTGGACCCAAAAGAAGCTATGGATAACCATAGTAAAAAGGAAAAGGAAGCACCTATTTGATGAGACAAGGTAGTAGGTTTTTGCTACACCCAGTAAAAAGTCATAGGCAAAAAATAAATAAATAAAAATAAAAAAACAAGATTATCCCAAACAAAAAGGAAATATTATCATAATAAAAATGAGTAAATAAATTTGCCTAAGTTTACAAAATTTTTTTTTACAAATATCACCGGGCATTTTGAAAGTTACTCTTCCTCAAAATATATGTTAAGCACATATATTTCTAGAGGTTACAACAATCTAGAAAGAAACCAAATACTATATTAGGAAAATGGATAAATTAATGATAAATTCATACAGTGGAATACTTTAGAGCAGCACAATAAATCCATCACCACTGTATATTTTAACACAGTTTAGCAACTATATGATGAGCTACAAAAGCAGGACAGGAGCACAAAGCAGTATGATTTCATTTATACAAGAAAATTCAAAAGCTGGCCACTCTAATATATTGATTCGAAATGCAAACACTACAGCAAAACTATTTTTTTAAAAGTGGGGAGATTATACATGAACTCAAACAAGAAGCTGCTTCTGAAAAGAGGCCTGGAGTTAGGAACGTCCTGCTAAGTGAACACAGGTGAATTCAGAGAAAATAGGATTATTTCCTGATATTGGGTGACAGGTTACTAATGAATTACTTTGTATGCCATACACAGAAAACTGTGGTGCATATATTTTAGAAATACAGTTTAAATGTATCAAACACTTACTACATAATTCAAGCTGTAGTCTGTTTTCTGTACTTTTCTAATCTGCTTTGTAATCTTAACAGGGAGCCACTTCTTTCTACAGCAGCCATTCTAACGCAACACACACAGAGTTTAAGCAGTTTCAATTTTTCTAGCTAAATTAATTTTTTTCATGAAACTCACTTTAAAAACTCAGATATTCAAGGAAAGTATAAGGATAACTTTGGCATTCAAAACATTAAAGACCTCATTAAAAATAAAAAAAAAACTATTAAGTTTAGTGCAGGCTATACAACAGGATTTTTTTTAACTTAAGAATATTTGCAAGAGCAAATACTCTCTTTAAACAAGTATCTTATTTAATAAATGGTCTTATTCCAAGAAGATGCCTCTTGGGAAATTCTATAATTTGAAAAAAATTAAGATTTAATATTTATTTTTTTACATTATATACATGTAACTCTAACATCCTCACAGCTTTTAAAGCCTAGAAGTGTTTAAGTTTTGGTAGATTGTCCTATGGTTTTACTGACAGAATGATATTAAAAATAGTAAATGCTAAGGGAAAAATCTTTTAAAACATACCTTTACCTTTATCCCCAAACTTAGTTTTCCAGCAGTGAATACAACTGTGGAACTCACACGGAAAACTGATAAAACTTCCAAAGTTTTATTTTTTTATAACCTAAATTTTGTTCTTCAACTATAAAGTCAGACACAAAACTAAAAATAATCTTTACACTGTTCCGTCTATTGAAATGATTTCTAGATTGCACTTCCTTAGAGCCTTGTCTTGAGAAAGGATTTTTCCCCGTTTTTTCTTTAAAGAAGCACCGACAGTTCAGTTCCTAGTTAGAAGACAGTCTGAAACTCATTGCCAACCACCATCAGCACAAAAAAATATTCCCTTTTAGAGCCAGCTTTTTTTTTTTAAAAAAAAGAAATAATCATAAGGATAAAAATATGTCATTTCCACAGGTTGAATTTAAAGATGCAATAAATGATGAACTTCTGAGACTTATCAATTACGATAATTATACCAACTTTCAAAGTTATATCTTAGTACATGTAATTTCTATCATAACAAAATTAAAACGTCACAGTAATGCTTAAGATTCCCTCTTTTCCTAAGTCCAGAGAGGACATCGAATACATTCACCTCTGGACATTTTCCTAAGTCACATGTAAAAAACGCCAAGCACTATCTACTGCTTATAATAACCCACTCCCACCCATTATAAAGATTTTATATTAATTTTACATCACACATTGTCTATTCTAAAGAAAAGGTATTTTGCAGCAACATTACCTTGTAAGCAGAGCCTCACTTTCCCCCTTCCCCTTCTAGCCTCAAACTCGAAGGATCAGAGCCTTTAGAAAACCTCAACATTACCAGCGACACTAACCCCTCAAGCCCTTATTTTACACTGTTAGAATTTTTTTTAAAAAGTACTTTAAAAGTCCTATACCTTTGTCTTCATCCTTTAAGACTTAAGTTCTGAGAAAAAGGGATGGGGGACGCCAAAGACAGTGTGAAATCTGAGGTTCGAGGTGGGGCAGGACGTTAAGCGGAGTCCCTGTTGACAAAAGAAAGAACTAGAAGGCTGGTGGGATGCCGGACCAGGTTGAGCGCAGAGTTATCCTGAGCGCACGTGAAGCTGCTGAGGGGGAGGGACCTTGGCGGCCGCGGCTCTCGGATCTCCACCGCCCCCAAGCGACGGAGCCCGTCCTAACCAAGACGACTCACTGCAGCCATTTTGGCGTCAACCCAGACCCGCCTCTGTGGCTCACGGGACTCCACCCACCACTGCTTCGCGAACCAAAACAGGAAGTGGGCTCGAAACCGCAGAAGCCAGGAGCAGCGCCTGTCTCCCCGCGCCCTAGCAACCCGCCACCGGTCCGGTCCCTGTCCCGAGTGTTAGAGCCCCACCCCCCTCCGAGCCCCGCGAACTCGTGAGGTCATGTCGAACATGGAGAGTATCCTTTCCAATGGTTGGGGTTGCTACGGGGCCCAGGTTCCCAGGGAACCGGGAAAGGGCAAATGCAGGGGCGGGAGACACGCCCAGGGGGTTGACCTTTTTGGTCCGCGGGTGGCGTGCGGGCGCTAGAGCGCAAGCCGGGAGCAGCGGGGGTTTGACTCCCCCCCCCCCCTCCTCGCTGCTGCTGCAGCCGCCGCCATCCTAGAATGTGGGGAGGGTCAGGGAAGCCTGTGGACAGAAGGAGATAATTGAGCCCGTCCCGCTTCTTGTTGAGCACTTCTGTCACCTGCCTTATCAGTGAATTTTGTCATCTTTGAAATTGACGGGGAATGGTGCCAGAACAGAGGGGAGGCGGCTGGAGTTTGCCTATGCTTGCTGTGAGGCGGAGATGTTGGGTTTGAGTGCTTTGCGTGGACGAATAGTTTCTGGCGAGCTGCCCTTTTCCGACTGCAGGTGACTGAGGTGATAAGGTTGAGCAATTGCCAGGAGCCCTCCGCACTAACTCTTGATTGCTTTTTGAACCTGCTGTATGCTAATTTAACAAGCATTTGAGGAAACTGAGGTCATGCCTGAAGCCTTGAAATCTCATCAGCCATACCTGTCTGGACACTTAGGGGATAAGAATAAAGCTGCCTTGTAACGTCATGAGTATGAATGTTTTTTTCACTACTAAAATTCCATCACAGCAACTCCATGTTGCTGTAATTCTTACTTCTTCCTGAAGTTGGCATTAGAGGTAGAATAATTGGCTTTTTCTTTCCAGGCCTTTTTTCCCCCCCCAGGCCAAAGTGGCAAGAAGGTAAAATGTAGCTAACTGTTGAGTAGCTCATTTTAGAAGGTGTTTTGCTTCATTAGTTTATACAGGCAAACTTTTTGATGAATTAAATTTTATGTGACACATAAAATTTTGCTAACATAACTTGTGTAGCACTAGCCAAAATATGTCGAAAATTAAAATGTTATCCTTTGAGGAAGGATGCAGATAGGTCATTTCATTGAAAAGAATAGATGATTAAGAAAGGCCCAGTTTCTACTGCACTTTAGAAAAAGTAATGAATGTAGTGTACTTTTAATATAATACCGTAAAGTGAAGGGCTCAGAATTATGAGTCAGAAGATAAGTTTTTTTTTCCCCATGTCCAAAGAGGAAAGAACCGAGTTAAGGCATGGCATCCATCCTCTGTCACCCACTTGACTCATTCGGAAAGTGTATTAACTGACCTTTCAACCCTAGGAAGGTATTCTTAAGGTAAAAGGAAATGGTAGTGCCTACCAAATTGTATTTTTGACCAAACACTGATGTGTGAGTTATTTGAATAGCTTAAAATTGTTAATTCTTTTCCTAGAAATTTGGAAGGGATCGGAGCTAGTTGACTAAACCATATACCTATATAGTGGATACATGTGCGTAAACATACACATACTACTTCCAACTTTTAGTAGCTTTGGATCTGAGGGCCAGAGGTCACATATATATGAACATAAATACTAATGCAAAGTTACTCCTACTGAATCAGATGAATGATGATGTGTGGAGTTAAACTAAATGGTTTAAAATTGTGTACACAGTTTTGAATATTACTATGTGCCTTTTTTTTTTTGCTAGGGATACTGTCTGTAGCCATGATTATTTCTATGCATTCTAACTTGAAGGAGGATATGAACCAATGAAGTTCATGATAAGTACTGGACTTACTCTGAGTTCAAAAAGGGAATTCTGGATAGCTATCACCCAGGGCTGTGTGTACACAAAAATAGCTAGCTCCTTAAAAATAGCTGTTAGTCATTGCATATCTTATGAATCACTTTAAATCCTAAAACAGAACGAGTTACATACTGGTACCAGACTTGTGAGACTTGATAAAATACACTATGATGCATTTTTTATCAAGGTACTGTCAACATAAATAACCATTCTCACTTGAAAGGGGCGGCCTAGTTAAATATGAGTGAAATATGAGTAATCACAGCCTAAGGACATAGATTTAGGATTTTCCAAACTCCATGTTCCAATGTGGTGAAAATTTAATGCATTTTGATAGTAATAGAATAAAGTTGTAATTCGAGACTCTTTCCTAACATATCAGTGGAGACATCAAAGAGGGAAAATCCCAGCCTCAGATATATCTGAGAACAGTCAGCCTTTTGCTTGGTGGAAGCTGCTGATCTGTTAATATATTTCAGAACGTTTTATCTGTTAGTCACAGGATATTAGGTCAGCCAGGTGGCCAAGGAATGGCTGTTAAGGGGGCTAAAGATAGCCCAAGAGAAATTGTAAAGCAGGGCCCAGACCTGCAAAATTCCAAGCTCTCCACAGTCAAGGAAACTCTAATCAGTTAAGTCAACCTTTCTGAAGGGTCAATGGGAGGCATAGTCTCTTTACTGGAATTAGTTCCAGTGTTTACAGTATCATTAAATTGGTTCCTTGCTAATATGTACGTAATTTATGGCTTGTGGGATCAACAGAATGCTGTCATTTACAAGAAGTATTAAACGTTATTTTGGGTCTTCCTTTCCATACCATTTAAAGGACAATTTGAACAATTCCCTGTAATTGTTAAAATACAATGTATGACCTAAGAGATAAGCTGCTTTTGAGTTCCTCTCTGTTTCTGTATTCATTAGTTACTCCATGCTTATCCATCTGTAAGTTTATGTTTTCAAATTAGTAAAATTATCTCTAAAGTTCCTTTTAGTTCAGATGACCTCACCTGATTCTTTGATTCCAAATTTACCTCCCTAAAACATACACAGGAGTATTTAAGGTGCTTACAATGCCAGAAAGATAAAAGGATAATGCCACTTATCAAATAAATGTTCCGTGATATTGGTACCACTATTTTTATCCTAGGACAGCTATTAGTGGAACAACTAAATAAAGATTCATTTCTAATTATTCTAATGTGTGTTTATGTGTATGTGTGTTTATGTGTATGTGTGTTTATGTGTATGGGTCTGAGCACATGAATGCAGAGACTGAAGGAGTATCTGATCCTGGCAGAGCTGTAGCTAGAGATGATTTTGACTTACCTGGCATGGGTACTGGGAAACTCTGGTCCTCTGCAGGACTGGCAAATGCTAACCATAACTGAGCCATCTCTCACGAGAGCCCAGCACTCTTCTGGAAACTCTTTTTTACCTCTGACCTGTATTTTTTTTCAACCTCTACTTCTGTTCATCAGGAATCGTATAATCTAGTTGGTGGCATTTGTAATAAAATAGCTTCTGAACTACTGTATTTAGAGATCTTACTATCAGCTTATAGTGAACTGTCACAGATTTTCTATAGTAAGGAGATGAATGCTATTTTAAACTAAGTCTTCTTTATATAAAATGAATTCTTGGAATCCTAATGATTTTTGAAAAGCTGTAATGGAGAAAAACAGTGTAATAGCGCATACTAGTTTTATATAATGCTCTAAAGACAAACTTGAACTTTTTGATATACTTTCTAAATAAATTTCTTTATTAAAATTGAAATTTAGTAAATGATAATATAACTTACTGAATGCATACTCTATGCCAAACAAACACTAACTTTTTATTCTAAATTGATTTTTTAAAATGTGTAATGTTAATCCTTCCCTCTTAAGTAAGTTAAGAAAAAGAGTAAAACGTTCCTGAGAGCCTTCTATTTGACCTAAGATACTATAAAGCTATCAGTTAAATTCCTCTTTTCTTTTACTGCAGATGCTACTATCTAAAAGTTAACATTAATGATTTCAAGTCATTTCTTTATATATTACATCATACATGTATACTTTTAAGGTATATTGATATATTTCATGTTTTTAAATGGTATATATGTAGTATCATTGATATTTTTAAAATATTGGTTATGATTCATCAGTATATTTAAAAAGCATTTTCATTCTTATGTAGTTTTCCAGTGTATTATTTTATCACAATTTACTTATTTACTTTTTTAGTGATGAGCCTTGAAATTAGCTTCCCTTTCATTACAAAAAATACTATGATCATCTTTTGAGCATATATTCTGTGTAGACTGGCAAAAATTGGGATATCTATCTATCTGTCTGTCTATCTATCTATCTATCTATCTATCTATCTATCTATCTATATAGAATTACTGTTGTTGTGCCTGAGAATATATGCACTTTAAATGTTCTTTGGATACATATATATTATCTGAAAATAATGGTTTAATTATTTCTTTTATAACCAGTACTTTTCATTCCTTTATCTTGTATGCATGGAAATACTCCAGAATACTGTTATAAATTAAGAAAAATTACAGTAAGATCACTTTCTTATTTTAAGAAAAATTCTAACTAGTCATGATTAATCTGATGATTGTAATAGATTTTTGGTTAGATACACATTCATTTTTAAAGCTTCACCATGAATAGCCTGTCTCTGTGTATATTTGATTATTAGTTGAATGTTTGGTCTTTGTGGTCCTTCTTTGTGTACTGAGATTTTTACTTATATTTTCCTTAACTGAATGAATAAAATGCATGGATAGTTTTAGGTTTCTAAAATGTTAAACTGTCTTTGGAGTCTTAAGGTAAACTCATCACAATTATGAAGCATCTATAATATATTGCCCATCTATAATGATTGCCAATATTGTGTTTAATATTTTTGAATCTTTGCTGACTCCGGCCTTTAATTAAAGTCTGGTTTCAAGGTTCAAAAGTGTTCTTTCCTTTTGCTAGTTCTTTGAGAAGTTTGTGCATGGTAAGAATTGCCATTTTCTTAAAAATTTGAAAACTCTACGAATAATACATACCATCACCTCTGTTTTTATGTTTCTTATTTAAATGTGAAAATATTTTAAAGTGTTGCATCAGAAATTCTGAATTATTGAGACTTTTTTAGTTCATTTCTTTCACTGATCTAGTATTATCCATTTTGAAGTATTTTACAAACAGCTTCAAAGTGTTTTGGCTAAATGCCCTAATGTATTATTTTAAAGTATCTTTATCTATAGTTATATTCCTTTCCTTATTCTATTTATGCCTCCTCTTTTTGCTTGATTAGTTACTACACAGCAAAAATGTCAGATTTTACAAGAATCTCAGGAGCCTACTATATCTTATTCCTGATTTTACATGGTAAATGTTTACATCATTAATTTTCATTCTTCCTCTGTTTCAGAGAGTCCCAATTAACTATATTCCATAAGCCACAATTCAGTCATTTGTTGTTATTCAATACTACAGAAAACATTTTTTCTTTTTAGTTATATATAGATAAATTTTTAAGATTTCAAACAAAAGTTCTTAATTTTTTTATTTTAGCTTTAGGTTCATACGGAAATGCGTAAAGAAATCAAATATATTAACTACTAAGTTATGTTCAGATGAAAGACTTTTTGGTATTTATTTCAGTTTTTGTTTATGGCCCAATGAATAAGTTTTCTATATCTAATATGCTTGATGCATGTGTTCTCAAACTATTGGGGTAAGGTTATTAGATTTTCTCCATGTC